AAACACCTGCCATGAGGACCCCAGCACTGCTCACGACATAGCAACAGTCACCACTTCCTGCTTGGTCATAATCGTTTTCCCAATCGAGCCATGGAATATTTGGGTCCCTTTTCCTGCAATGCTACAGGGACACCTCCTGCTCCATTTCTTCTCAGCCACAACCACAAAGGGATTTTCTCTGAACAAAACAATTGCTCTGATACACAGAAATTTTATCCTCTCTGGGCTGACCCTCCTAAAAGAAACAGCCCTTGGCAGCTGCCCTTGCTGAACTCCAGCAGGTGCCCAGCACCATTCAGGGTTTCAGTGTTGGCCCAGTGGATCCCGCTCTGGGGTGACAGCACTGGGCACTTGCTGCCATCTACACTTTGGGACACTGACCACAACCCTCTGGACACAGCCATGCAGACAATTCTCCGGTCTCCCTGCTGGACACTGATAGAACCTGGACTTGATTAGCTTGTTGAGGATCATGAAATGTTCTCCAAAAATCATGGGCAACGTCCAAATCCTCTTTCTGATGGTCAGACATGGCCCAGAGAAGTGGCCTCAAACCTCAGTGCAAGTAAAACCCAAAATGCTCGGGAAATCACATTCTTAAAGGCAAGAGGGCAKGAAGAGACCCAAAGAGCAYRRCCAATGGGAAAAACAAGGTTTAATGTCAGACTTTGCCAKATGGGAGGAACATGAGGAAGGAGGGAAAGGGATGGGAGGGACAACAACTCCAGCAGTGCCCAGAGCAGCCTGACAGGGCCGAGAGAGCCTGGGGGCAACTCCTCACCACACACCCACAAACCACGGACAGCAGAGCTGCAGGGCAACCTCAATGATGACACCGCAACTCTCCAAAGCTTTGGTCACATCCGCACCCTGTCCTGACATGAACCATCAACAAAAGCATTTGGCCTCTAATTCTCACAATTAAAAGAATTTCAAACAGCCRCCAAGGTCAGAAGGACACAGCCACAAGAGAAGGACATGGAATCACAGAATTCCACAAAGACACGCCTGACCCATAACAGAGGAGGAATGAGAATCACACTGACTGTCCGCTACTAATTATGGGGTTTTGCTCASAGGAACACAATATGAACCCCTACAGGATAAAAGTTATGAAACATTATGGCTTGAATGAGGAATACGGGAATTGACGTCAGAGCTCAGGGTAAAAAGGGATCAGGCACTGGTTTGTTGTTTGTTTATTGCAATACTGAACCAACACAAGGAATACACTTTAAATGACAGTGAATATTGTCATGTGAATTTCATAAATCCACATGAACCAAACGTTGCATGAAATTCAGCCTGAAAAGCCTAAGCTTTTCCAGATCTACTCTCTTAACCCACTTCTTCCACCCAGAAGGAAGCACTCATAGGCACTGGGACCTTTCCAAGCTATGGCAGAGCGACCTCCCCAGGACATCAGCAGCTCCCTCGGCATTCCTGGGTGCAACACAAAGAATTATGGACATCCAGGCACAGAGAACAGAGCCCATTCTTCACAGAGGACCCACAAACCACAGCACACCAGTACAACACAAGGAAGTCACTGAGGACATCGCACCTCTGCTGGGATCTGGGTGTTTATTCAGCCCTCCCTGACAAACATCAAACAGTAAAACCCTCCCAAATACCAACTCATGAAAGCTGTCACCAAGGTCAGATGGACATGGCCACAAGGGAAGAACATGAAATTGCAAAATTGCACAAAGGAAAACATTTCCCAGCACATGACTCAGCAGGCTGGGCCATTGAGGTGCTGCTGCCTGCAAAATGCCCCAAGGCCATGGGCCAAGGCTGTCCCGCCCCTCCAGGAGCAGCATAAAAGCCGGCCCAGCGCCTCTCTCCCTCACA